CCATTTATAAACATTTCCCAAACATCTTTACTTAAGACCAAAACTTGCTAAGACAGTATTAAATTTGTTGGGGATCCTATACTAAGATACCTAACATTTAGGCCAAAAAATAACATTGTCGGCCCACCCCGCCCTGCCCCGACCCATTCATTAATTTAGAAAATAGAAAATTGTCTCCTTAATGTTCATCTTCACATGTTAAGAGCATTTGTAACACCTAGAAACAAATACCATAAAAATCTCAAAATCTCAAATTTCTATAAAGATCCATGAAGTTGGCCACATTCATATAATTGGACAAACATAAGTTGCACGAAAAATATCATACAGTTTAATAAGCAGGGCAAATCAAGTTAAGAATTCAAAGATCTCGACCATTGAATTTACGTTCTAGTCCAGAACTCACTGACAGATGGAAATGGCTTCACCATCTTCTGTATAACAGAGTTGGAATAAACACAATATTGGAAGGAAGACAAGATAATCATAATTTGTAAGTGTAGAAACTCTCTTTCACACAAAAAGGACTTGATTTTCGGATATCACTGTGGTCCAGCAAATTTACTCATCATTTTCACAATAACTGGAGCCACCTTGGGATTTGCTTGATGCTCGGCCAGGTTCCCAGGGTTCTTCATTACTGCAGAACAATTTAGCAAGATCAGATATTGGAAAAATGTGGGGATAATGCATAAGATATTGGTTCAAGTACAAAACATTGAAAAAGCATTCTTCTATAGACGCTAAATTTCCTTTATAAAAGAAATTAAAATTTCTGTCCCTTTCTCAGGCAGTAGCGATTCTTGATCAACGGAACCATTAACCGATGGACAAATCAGACATGATGTTACGGGCCTGTGTCAGACCCGCCACCTCACCCGCCACGTGTCCACACCCGTGGCCCAAGCCACGTACCGGACGAGGCGATTAAAACAAAGAACGAACTGATTGTACATGCCGAGGCGGTTGCATTAGGAACGAACTGAACACGCGTCAGCAAATGAATCGGACTCATCCACAAG